TGCCAATACTCTTCCTCCACATTGCTCCTATGATTGTCCTATTGAGCTTTCTGCCCGGCGCCGAAATTCCTTTTGGGCGAATTTACCCTCTATCCGAAGTAGAATTAGAGGTCCTCCAGGGTTATATTGATGAGAGCTTGGAAAAAAGGTTTATCCGGCCCTCTACATCACCAGCAGGAGCTGGCATTTTCTTTGTTGAGAAGAAGGATCACAACCTCAGACCTTGAGTGGACTATCGTGATCTGAATAAGATAACTGTCAAAAATTGCTATCCCCTTCCTCTAATTCCAGAATTATTCCAAAGGCTACGAGGGTATGTATCTTTTCAAAACTGTATCTGAGGGGTGCTTACAATCTAGTTCGAATTTGCGAAGGAGACGAATGGAAGACGGCCTTTCGAACACGCTTTGGGCATTTTGAATACCTGGTGATGCCTTTCGGTCTCTGTAATGCCCCAGCAACCTTTCAACATTTTGTAAACGATATATTTCGGGACTTTCTGGATCTATTTATTATCATTTACTTGGATGACATCCTAGTTTTTCCTAGTTCAATTGAAAGACATTGGGATCATGTAAAAAAAAACTCTATGCAAAGGCTGAAAAATATGAGTTCGAGAGGCAGACTATTCAGTTCCTCAGACTTGTGATCATCCCCGAGGGCATTGCTATGGACCCCCAAAAGGTGTCTTCTGTATTAGAATGGCCCGTTCCAAGAGACAGAAAAGCAGTACAACGTTTTGTAGGATTTGCAAACATTTACAGAAAATTCATTAAAAACTTTTCTGGGATCATAGCACCAGTAACACAGCTAACCAGGCAACATGCTACCTTCAGGTGGACTTCTGAGGCCCAAACAGCCTTTGAACAATTAAAGACCTTGTTCACCTCTGCACCTATCCTGAACCACCCAGATCCTGCTTTAGCCTTTGTCCTTGAAGTAGACACTTCTGAAAATGCTGTGGGAGCCATTTTGTCACAACAACAGGGACTCAAATCCTTTCTGCACCCTGTTGCATTCTTCTCCAGAAAGCTAAATGCCTGTGAAAGGAATTATGATGTGGGAGACAGAGAGCTGTTAGCCATCAAGGCAGCACTTGAGGAATGGCGCTACTTACTGGAGGGAGCTTCCCATCCTATCCTCATTTTCACGGACCACAAGAATCTTGAGTATTTGAGAACGGCGAAACGTCTAAAGCCACGACAAGCAAGATAGGCACTATTCTTTTCCCGCTTTGTCTTTCATTTGACATACCGTCCAGGATCAAAGAACGGTAAGCCTGAAGCACTCTCCCATATGTTTCATGATCCAATTGTACAGTCTGAACCTGACACGATTCTGCCAGCCAAGAACTTTTTACTTCTGCAGACAGATCTTGTAACACAAATAAGAGAAGTGGTGGTCAATCATCCACCCCCCATAGAGATGCATCTTCAGCTAAGAGACGGACTGTATCTTCATAAGGAACAAATTTTTGTGCCAGAACAACTCAGGACTCTTATCCTCAAAAGGTGTCATGATCACCCCTTAGTGGGTCAGTTTGGGATCCACAAGATCTCAAATTTGCTCTCCCATTCCTTCTGCTCGTCAAATTCAATGAAAGATTACCAGAACTATGTTAGATCTTGTTCAGTTTGTCTTTGAAATACGTCTGACAAAGCCAAGACCTGGGGCCTGTTGGAATCTTTGCCCATACCTGAAAAACTATGGAATATGATCTCTATGGATTTTATTGTGGAACTTCCCCCATCGGAGGGATTCACCACTATTTTTGTAGTGGTTGACCGCCTATCAAAGATGGCTCACTTCATTCCCTTGAAAGGGACTCCTTCTGCCACTGAAACTGCTTCTGCCTTCATCAAAGAAATAGTAAGATTGCATGGCGTTCCTATCAATATTGTGTCCGATCGAGAAGTACAGTTTACATCCAAGTTCTGGAAAGCTCTGTGTGAGGCATTAGAGATCGAATTGCGCTTCTCCTCGGCATACCATCCACAAACAAATGTACAAACGGAGAGAACAAACCAAACTCTGGAACAATATCTCCGATGCTTCTCATCTTATTCACAGGATGACTGGGTATCTCTCTTTCCGTTAGCATAGTTCGCATACAATAACTCCATTCACTCTGCTACCAAACAGTCCCCTTTTTACTCCAACTATGGATATCACCCCTCCTTCCTTCTGGAAATACCAGTGGAACCTGCTGTCCCGGCTGTACAAGAAAGAATGGATTTCCTCAGGAGGAACGGTCAAATATTGCAAAAAACTATTTCAGAAGCTCAAGCGAGTAACAAAAAATTTTTTGACAGAAGGAGAAGGGGCAACTTAAATCTGAAACAAGGAGATAAAGTCTGGTTATCCACGGCAAATCTAAAATTGAATTGTCCTTCAAGAAAGCTTGGTCCAAGGTACCTGGGACCATTTACTATTAATAGAAAAGTTAACCCTGTAGCTTTCGAGTTAAAACTACCTACAAATATGAAGATTCATCTGGTGTTCCTGCTAAAAACCACATATTCCAAATGGATATCCCAATCGAGATCTGGAGACTCCTGCTCCACTGCTGATTGAGGGAAATGAAGAATACGAGGTGGAGGCTATCCTGGATTGTAGAAAGAAGGGCGGACAGACCCAGTTTCTCATTAAATTGAAAGGCTACGGTCCAGAGGATAATTCCTGGGAGCCGTCCACTAATGTCCATGCCCCATGGTTAGTTCAAGCCTACCTCCATCTTCACCCTGAAAAACGAGCCCTAGTGGGCATCCGGAGGTTGCCCCTAAGGGGGGGGCAATGTAAGGGATTTCCAGCAAGACGAATTGCCCATGTTAGTTGCTGACTGGTCTACAGCTCCCCCGTGTCCTGCTTATTCCTGTGTGATTCCTTTGTTGCTGACCCGGCTTCTTCCTGACCCGACTCTGATTGCTCTCCTGATTGATACTGGTTCCTGACTTCGACTCTGCTCCTGACCTTGGCTTTCCTTCAGATTCTGTATCGTGCTGCCCGACTGTTGATGACCCTTATATCATGAGCCATCTCACATTTTTGAATGTTGCGAACAGAAAGGAGAATTCTTGTAGCAACTGTCTACTTTGCTGATAGCTGGATTATCCTTTGATATGTCATGAAGTATAGTGCTCTTCAAGGAACGTTAGCTAGTGATGTCCAGGAAACCTTATAGAAATAGTTATTGCTACTAGCTCTATAGTTAACACAAAGCTGAATTTTGGGCACTCACTTTGTAGCATTCAGTTAATTCCTGTGCATCCATTTCCTCTATAGGGGCAATATTTTTCTTAAATTTGCCCTTGCTGCTCAAGAAAATCATTAATTTATTGCTGGATAATTTAGCTATGAAAGCTGAATTTCCAATCACAAGTGACCTCACAACTGCATAGTTGGTTTCTGAAGCCATTACTGGTGTCACCTCCCCCCCTTGTGTAGGCTGTACTCTTGGCATGGGTTCTTATGAGTTATTCCTCCCCAACAACAATGTAAATTGCACATTATGCAGCCCAGGAAATCACATATCTACAACTTTAGAGAGGAGTAAGCCATTTTACATTCTGGAAGTTTAGCCTTAACCATAGTATTCTACTTTCTTATAGGAAATCTATAAAGGTTTTGTGCTTAAATTCTTTTTATACGGTCAGGACTAAAAAAGTAAAATATAATAACAAAATGAAAACAATTGTTTGAATGCTCCTTTTGAACCAGCAGGTAAAGCTTAAAGTATAACTAAAGGCAAACAGAGTGGAGAGGAATTAAAACACGTATTTTATGTGTCCTGTTAACCATTATCATCAAAAGTGAAAGTAAAAGAAAACCCCAAATTTTGGGCTGTCCCCAGAAAAGTAATAGAGGGGGCATTTTCCAATTGGGACACTAGTTCTGTTTGCCAGGGATTTCTATACTTTGCAGAGATTTTCTATCACTTGGCTATGGGACAGAAAGTGAAGATAAATCTCCCCAATGGAACACAGATGGCAAAAAATAAGCTGACAGGGTTATGACCCTTGCCTACTCTATCCAAAAAAATAATAAAAAAAAAGTTTTACCTATAGCTCTGCTTTAACCACTTCCTGCCTTGCCTATAGTAAAATGACGGCCGGGCGGGACTCCATCGATCCGGGAGGGCGTCATATGACGACCTTTCTGTATCGTGCCTTGCTCGTACCCAAAGGATCATACTGTGGCGAGATCTGTCACCGGCTGTGTACCACAGACACAGCCGATGACAGATCTGTGTGCCAACCCTGTTGCCAGTACCATGTAACCTGCTGTGACCAATCACAGCAGATCACATGACAGTTGTAAACAATGGATGGCTTACTTTCATGACATCCATTGTATACATGGATGGCTGTGAATGGTTATAGTGATCACATGCACAGGCTGGGCCAATCACAGCCCATCTGTGTCATGTAATTAGCTGTGGCCAATCACAGCTAATCACAAAAAAAAAATCTGAATTAATCGATTTCATTCAGTTAAATGCTTGCTTATAGCAAAGAAATTCTTTGCTATAAGCAATTGAATTATGTAAAATTCTCCCTCTTTCCTCCCACCCCTCATTCCCCTCAGCCACTTCCTACTGTACCATTACCCCCTCCCTCCTAGATTGTAAGCTCGAAAGAGTAGGGCCCTCTTACCCCTCGTACGTTGTTTGTTATTGTTGTACTGTGCCATGTATTGTCCCCCCCCCCCCTATTGTACAGCGCTGAGCAAACCCTTTGGCGCTATATAAACTCGATGTAATAATAATAATAATAATGTAAAAAAAAAATACTGATCACTTCCCCAAAAGTAGTACAATGTTACTATGGTAACATTATATTACTTTGGTCATAGTGTAATATAAAAAAAAATCTTACAAAAGAGAAAAAGTGCAATAAACAAAAATTAAAAAACAATTATGACATTTTTTTTTTGTTCGTACTATTACCAGTCAGTGTCCCTGATCACTGCCACACCAGTTATATGATGACAGTGTACTGTACTGGTGACAGTATGTAAAAAAAAAATTGTGAGAATAATTTGTTTTTAATTTCTTTATTTTCCAACACATTATGACAAAAAAATTACAACTTCAAAAAACTTGCAATGCCTCTTATGAAATACATCAGATTGTCTACTTTGCAAAAAGGGGTCATTTGGGGGATATCTGTACTGTTCTGACATTTTTGGGCCTCAAGAAATTAGATTGACTGTCAGTATTAAGGAATTATCAATTTTAAGATATATCCCATAGTTTATGAACTCTATAACTTTCCTACAGACTAAATAATAAATACTGATTTGGGTTATTTTCACCAAAAGGAATGTAGCAGAATACATCTTGGTCTAAATTTATGAAGAACAATTATTTATTTGCAAACTTTTATAACAGAACAAAAATGTTGGTCTTTTTTTTGTTATTTTAGCAAAAAATAAAAAACCCCAGTGGTGATTAAATACCCCCAAAAGAAAGCTCTAGTTGTGTGAACAAAATGCTAAAAATTTAGTTTTGGTATAGTGTTGCATGACTGTGCAATTTGCCATTCAAAGTGTGAGAGCGCTGAAACCTGAAAATTGGCCTGGGCAGGAAGGGGGTAAAAGTGCCCGGTATTTAAGTGGTTAACCACTTGCCTACAGGTCACTTTCACCTCCTTCCCTGCCTAGGGCCCTGGACAATTTTCAGCTTTCAGTGCTGTAGCACTTTGAATTTCAATTGCACGGTCATGCAATACTGTACTCATACAAACTTTTTAGTAATTTATTTTACACAAATAGAGCTTTCTTTTGAGTTATTTAATCACCACTGAGTGTTTTATTTTTTTGCACTATAAATGAAAAAATACAGAAAATTTTGAAAAAAAAAAGTTTTTCTTTCTTTCTATTTTAAAAGTTTGTAAACAGGTAATTTTTCCTCCTTTGCTGATGAGGTAGCACTTACGGGCACTGATAGATGGCAATGATGGATACTGATAGGTGGCACTGACTGGCAGCACTGACAGACACAGACTGGCAGCACTGCTTGGCATTGATGGGCATTGTTGAGCACTGATGGACAGCACTGCTGGGTACTGATGGACAGCACTGTTGAGCACTGATGGGCAGCACTGTTGGATACTGATTGGCAGCACTGCTGGGCACTAATGGATAGCACTGTTGGGCACTGATGGGAACTTTTTGGGGCTGCACTGATAACCAGGGCACTAATAATCAGTGCCCTGATTATCAGTGTAGATTTCTGCTTTAACAGTTGCCGGTTATTGGCAGTACTTTTGTCACGCTGTGACAGCGTGAGGAAAGTACTGCCGATAACCGGCAAGTGTATTTACATGGTGATCAGCTATGATTGGACACAGCTGATCATGTGGCAGAAGGCCGATGTGCTGGGCCCTTTACTGAGTCATGTGATCAGTCATGTCCAAAGGACACAGTGATCACAGACAGCACCCGATGCACGCCGCTGGGGGCACGTTCTGAGAGGACATCATATGACGCCCTCCCAGAACTGGACAACCGCGCTGTAGCCGTCATTCAGCTATAGCGCAGTCAAGAAGAGGTTAATCTGTATATTTAACCTGTGTAAGAGAACACAGATTAATAGGAAGATGTCAGTTATGACAAAACATGAGCAAACATGTAGGGGAAGCCAAGCATCATGATGTCACATACCTAGATGGATTCGGACGTGCCTCTATGCAATTCCAAAAGGTAATTTTTATACAGAGCTGTTTATCAATTTCTAAGTGAATGTTTGTAATCTATTTTTAATAAAGATTTTTATTGATTTTATTGATTTCACACTGTGAATGTTTTCTTTTATTTTTGATGTACTTGCGATGTTTGGAGATTATCGATGCTCAGGAGAGGTGACTTTAGTTTGGCTTTGCAATCCGTGAATTCTCTCCATGTTGAGGGTAGAGGTAGGGTACAAGGTAGGGTACAACATTCTTTAAATATATTAATAGTATGATGAAGGGAAGTTGGTTACAAATGAAAAGGAGAAGGCAACTGCACTAAATACATTCTTCTCCTCAGTTGTTACTAAGGAAAGAAGAGGTATAGAATGTATCATTAGTAACACGTCACAGAATGTACCCTTGTGGCTAACAGAAGACGGTGTCCAAAAAAGTCTTGATAAGCTTAACAGAAATAAATCACCAGGTACCAGATGGCTTACACTCAAGAGTCCTCAAAGAACTCAGTCAGATTATAGCCACATTGCTAATCCTAGTTTTTATGGACAGCATGCTGAAAGGAATGGTAGTAGCTGATTGGTGAAGGGCCAACATGGTACCAATATTTAAAAAAGGGCAGAGATATTTCAGGAAACTATAGGCCAGTCAGTCTAACATCGATAGTATGTAAACTATTGGAGGAGATAATAAGGGATCCAAGATTTCGCTGATTAAAACAGTATCAGTAGTAGTATTCAGCATGGCTTTACAAAAGGTCATTCTTCCCAAACCAATTGCTAACATTCTATGAGGATGCGAGCTGCCATCTAGATAAAGGAAGGCCTGTAGATGTGGTGTACCTAGATTTTGCAAAAGCATTCGATACAGTCCCCCATACACACTTAATTAAGTAACTGAGGTCTGTATGCATGGACCACAGGGTTTGTACATGGATAGAAAATTGGTTACAGGGCTGCGTCCAAAGGTGTAATTGACGATACACAATTTATATTGTATTTGCACTACACATTTATGTATTACTTGTATAGTTTTGGATTTTCCTTTTTGATGATTGTATTGTATTCTTATAGGGTAGCGCTGCACTTGTTTACACCTTCTATTTAGACTATGGTGGGTATCCCATAGTATGCAATCAGCTTTTTCTACAAATCCACAATTGAGGTTATACACATCTTTTTAATACTAATTATTTAACCTGTGAACAATGAAGAGAGCTGAAATCATGGTCTGTCGGTGACTTTTGGGAACTGGATCTAAAGACCTCCATAACGGAGAATCTACTTGGCAAATAATGACTAAAGTAAACAAGTTGAAGTCACTGAAGCCCTACTTGGGCAAATAGACTGGCATAAATATACAGCTGTAATAAAATCTGGCTGCCTGTGTATTTGTGCTGATGAGATTATCTACAATTTTTCATATAAATAAACAGTCAAATAATTCTCTGTGCTATGAAATGCCTTTATTTTGCAGTTTATTTTGGCAAAATGAAAACAAAATATATTGCTACTATTAGATCATTTTAAAGACATAAACTTGAGTTCTTATGAGCCAAACTTATTGTAGGGCTTGATTAATATGTCTAATTACTCCGCTGGTTCATAACTGCGTTATTGGTGGCATGTAAAAAAGAAGCAGACAAGCAGGAAAAAAGTAGAAAAAAAGAAAAACTGAAATCGGCTTCATGTCAAGAAATACTGCAATAATAGTGAGTCTTGCCCTATGGTGGTAAATGGGTTAATTAATTACTTTGCAAAGCGGTCAAACATTTGCCTGCACTAAATTTAGTAGATCTGTCAGACTGCCATTATGGAAACCATCTGATTTCCTGTGGTCCGGCTGTCCTGCTGCTACATTTGCTGCGGTATGCACTTATGTTCAGTACGAATGAAGCTATTATCCAAGCCTGGGTTGACAATGTAGAAGTGCATTTTGTCATTTCTATATTGCTATATTAAACCATTACCGCAGAAAATAATTTACATGAAAAATACATTAAAGGCATGCTAACTCTACTACAGTATCACTTTATTCTTGTTTTTTTACCAATCTATGGAAAAGAAAGCCAAACATTTAAAGGACCAAATGTTTTATATAAATGTAAACTCCATTTTTAAGTTATAAGGCAACTCTAGCCAGAGAGTACAGTTAAAGGGTAAGTTCATCTTTTCACAAAAGATGAAAAGGTGAACTAACTTCAGTTATCCTGACCACCCCTTTGGACTCCACTGCACATAGTGGCCATGAAGCCCCATCCTGCCAATGTAGTAGTCCATATGACAGAGTGCGTATCCATCATAGTTCTCTCAATGGAAATGCTCATTAGTCAGCACAATCATGTGACAGCTTCCTCCTTGTGGGATACCTCAGATGTGCTTCTGTTTGGTCAGCATGTTCATGTGGCTGCACTGACCAATTATTGCTTACCATTGTGAGCACTATGATGGATACTCACTTCAAAGCTGTGTAATGCAGTGTACAGACTGCTCCAGGGGTCATTATGGATGACATGTACAGTGGCTTCCAGATATATTCTGAGTTAGTTCACCTTTTCATGTTCTGTGAAAAATGTGAACTTACCCTTTAAAGCACATTTATGGGAACTGTTAAATACTTTGTAATGTGATCATGTCCCACCTCTTGTGCTATGCTGCAAAGAATACAGAGGATGAAACAATATAATATAAAGTAATATAATATAAGTTACAAAGGTACAATATTTCGATAATGTGTTTGTTTTTTTTTACTCACAACATATAGAATATTTCACAGATCACTACCTAAATATTATTCCTTCTGAGACCTTTTCCGACTTACTTCTCGGTAAGCGTGGGCTTGGTCACCAACCTGAATGCCACTCAAGAACTTTAATAATATTATTGTACTATCATTGTTGTTCTAAGGAAGTGTATTAGAATTAGTGAATGCAATGTATAGATATGAAATAATGTAGGAATTCATATCTTTAAACTATGATTTACATTACAGATACCTCTGAAGTCAACCTTTGGCCTGGGAAATAAAAAAAGAAGTTCCTCCATCAACCAAGATATGGATATGAAAGTTATTATGTGAATTATATTCTGATTGTTATGCTATGCTAGAAGGATTGATGGATGGGTAGGAACATGGATGTCAGAGGTTGTATGATGTCTAAATATATGGAAAATATGTATTTAAACAGAAAGAATAGTGTATGTACTGTATATTGTTTTAGACTTTTTCAATAAGAAAAGATGCCATAAAAGAATTTAATTTTTATAGTTTACCGATGGCGTAAGTAAGTTACAAAAATTTAGGTTTTAACAGTACAAGAATAGCAAACATCAGCTACAACATCATGTTTATAGTAGCGAGGTTGATTTACTAAAACTGGAGAGTGCAAAAGCTGGTGCAGCTCTGCATAGAAACCAATCTGCTTCCATTTTTTTATGTCAAAGCTTAAGTGAACAAGCTGAAGTTAGAAGCAAAGTGGCTACAATGCACAGCTGCATTAGATTTTGCACTCTCCAGTTTTAGGCCTCTGATGACGACACGTTGAAACATCTTAGGCAGAGCACTGAGTCCACTTTGACCCACAGCCTGTGTTCACGACTGGAGCAGGCAGCTTTACTTGTCTATGTGAATACTTCCTTA